AATAAAAAAAATAGAATTGAGGGTAATTTTTCTTTCATTAATAAGAATCATTATAGCCAATACCAGTGTGCTGCAAATCATGATATTACTTATCTCTCTATACTACTTGCTTTTTAAACAACCTACAATTAAACATAAAATGTATCCTATGTTTCACAACTTCAAAAAATAATAATAATTTAAGCTACATTCTTAAAAAAGTTTTTAAATTCCAAGGTATGACAAATTTATGGCCATGTTGTTTCCAATATAAACAGGTGGAATCTCTAAAGCATTCAATAGTGGATGAAAAAAGAAAAGTTTTAAAAATTATTTTTAAATACAAATGTTTCTTTAAATAATGCTTTTTCAAAATTAATGTGGAGGATAAAAAGGGTAGAAACTGTTTTACACATGAAACAATAGATATATATTTGTGAGGGAAAATTTTATTTTCTGCAAAATACACATTAAAAATTTATTATTCACCTCTCCAACCTATTACATTCCTTTATTTCTTATTACTAATTTCCTGCTTAAATTTCAAAGAGAAGAAAATAGAATAAAATTTAGGAAACATCAAGACAAGTAATAACATATATAATTAGAAACAAAGATGTAGCACATAATAATTAAAAGGGGCATGCAGCTTTTTCAGAATGAAATACCTCTATACACGTTATAAAATAATTTAAAACTGAAAATTACATACTTTATACACTCACTTCCAAAAGTTAAGCACAGAGAGGAAAATGCTAATTTCCGGAAGCCAATCAGAAGTAAAGAGGATATAATTTGCTGCAGAAGTAGATGGAAGTATGCAAATATGTTAGGTAACAGCCAATTGCGCTTTCATGTCAAGAAATATGCAAAAAAGGCAGCCTTATAGGAAGTCAGCTTTATGAAGGGGTACAGAAGTTGATTGTAAGTGCTGATAGAAAACTTTCGTACAAGTTGTTTTCAAACATGCGTGTTTTCTGACTCCACAGCGAGGAAGATTCGTAGCACTGGCTGCTGTGGACCATTTGAAGCAGGACAGTCGATCACAGATGTTGCTCTTTTCTTTGGCGTTCACCATTCTGTTATTTCACGTTCGTGGAAACGATTCCAAACCACACAAACAGTTGTCCGAAGGCCCGTAGCCCAAGGGTTACAACCCCCGCGGAAGATCGATATATATTGCTGTGTTGTAGCCAAGCAGAATCGCAGAGCGACCTCTACATGTGTGACATCTATGGTTACATCATCCATTGGTAAGGTGATATCTGCAGCTACTGTACACCAAAGATTACATATGAGTGGACTGTACGCCCGAGTACCTTGAGTTTGCGTTCCTCTACAGTGGTGGCGGGAACATGTCAATTGGAATGTGTCTGACTGGGGCAATGTCATGTTTACTGATGAGTCAAGATTTGCTGTGGAGCCAGATGACAAGCATATAAGATTAGTGTGAACGACGAAGACGCAATCCTCCCAAAAATCACGCTTCCGAGGTGGAGCATTATGGTGTGGCAGGTTATTTCATTAGGATACTGCACCGACCTCACATCCTTAAACAGGGTTCTGATAGCTGTCGGTATTGATATGAAGTCCTAGAACCCATTGTGAGATTGTACGTTCAGGCAGTTAACACTACTTTGGTTTAATGCGATAAGCACATCCCCATAGAGATGACATTGTCGATGACTACCTGGAGAGTGGAAGGAATGCGCGTATGACGTGGCAGCATATTGCCCGACCTTAATCCCTTGAAAATCTTTGGGGATCTCTTGGTCGTGCGCATCTTCCAGTTTCCCATTTCCAGTCACTCTTATTCATCTGGAAACTGCTCTCAAGAAGAATGGGCGAGTGCTTATCTGCGGTTGGTTGACACCTAATTGAAAGCATATCACACGGTGTAAACTTTTGTATACATTAGATCACATACTCTTTATGTCCTTTTTTCTTCATTTTTGCTGTTTTATTTCCTTTATACATAACTCTGTTTACTCCAGTATGGCATTATCTGATAACTACAAAAATTTATATAGTTTTCATTTCTGTATATAATTACTAATTTTGTTTATGTATAAAATTTTTTTTTTTTTTTTCATTTTCACTTGGTTTAACTTTTGGAAATGAGTGTATATGGCCATAAAAATCTAATATTGTAATTATTCTATCTCGAATGCAGTGTATTCTGTATTAAGGATAGAACAATGCACTAGAATTTTTACTCTAAATATGAAAAATGGAACTACTATTATAATTATTCTATCTTGAATACAATGTAGTCTGTATTAAGGATAGAATAATGCACTAGAATTTTTACTCTAAAACTGACCTATTACATACATGAACTATAAGAAAAAAATTCCTAAGCTTGATTTCTTAAGGGAACTTTTTTTTTTTTTTTTTTAAATTCTTGATTAAATTTTGAATATGAAACATGACTCAAGGTGAAACTATGTAGTAAAAGAGCAGATTAAAATTTTCTTTGCACTTTCATTTGGAAATATATTTACATCGCATACATCTTACAAGTAGGTTACATGGTATGGTACTTTTCCGTTTCGCCGGCGCAAATCTCATCAAGCAGATTTTATTGCCGACACGATATAGTATACACACAAATTATGTAAACAAATGTTAGTTCTAAGAATTTATTTTGAAGACATAAACATTTAAATATCATTTAAAATTTTATAAAAAGCCAATAAATAAAGACAATAAATTTGTAAAAAGACATTAATTTAAGAATTTATTATGCTTTCATGGTTCAACATCCTGATTCGCCAGTTCCTATAATGTAACCCCCAAGTGATCTCATCTCACGTAAACTACGCTACAAAAATCTAATTCTCTCAGTAATTATCTACATTAATTTCAAGTTAAATCTTAATTTGGAATACAAATTTAAAAAATGCAAATATTTCAATTTGTATGGATCGCTTACTCAGAATTATGTAAAACCGCAGTGCTTTACTTACTAGTGCATTCTCTTAGAATTGATGAATTACCCTTGACTTTCCATTTCTATATTTCGCCTTCGGGTGAGTGGTGTGATTGCATCCTAATTGACTTAATCACTGTAAATGGCCTTAGGGCATAAAATTGAGCTATCTGGTAAAAATTCTGTGTAAATTTGTGCCAGTATTAAACAATCGATCAGATTAGAAAAGGCCAAGATTTGTTTTGAAAATGAGGCGTAAAAGGTTACCAGAGAGGATATTCCGTTTGGCATCAGAGGGCATTCCGTTTGGCCATTATTCGCAACTTTATTGCCTGCGCCAGCAAAACGGAAAAGTACCCATGGTACATATTGTTTTCACATTTACTCATATATCAATCTTTAAAATTTTCTTACGATTCTCTAAATACTAAAATTACTTGAATTTTTCTTATTATTTTATAATATTAAAATTACTTGAATTTTCAACTGTTACTGATACTAGATAAGTCTTAAATTATAATCATATTATTTCTTATATATATATAGAACACAAGAAAAACTTTTTGCCCATCTTTATAGAATCAGTTTTTGATTTAATGAAAATTTTTTAATAAATTTTCACTGCTTTTTTCTTAACAGAATACCGGACATAGTTGTGCACAAAAGCATCTGGTAGCCTATTTGTATCAACACTAATAATAGCTATGCAATGACATCACTGTAATTAAATGAGAAGAATGAACTTTAATCCAGTAATATAGATTATTAAATGTTTTTAACTTCAAGTGCTGTTCCTTTTGAGAAAACAAACTGTTTTAGGCGTGTAAGGCAATGTAAGATGTTAAAATTAACGTTAGTGCTGCTGTGCCTGCCAACATTCTAGATTTATATCTAATCGAACTTACGTGGCAGTTAGTGCAAGAGAAAACACAAAAGATTTTAGCAATATAACATGAAATCAGCAGCTTTTTGCCTGCAGTTCAATTTGAAAGTACTCTGGTAAAATCTATTTTATATTTTTGTAATTGTCTTTGTTTCTATTTTAATTTCAGTTAATTAAAACAATCACTCTTTTCATTAAAAGCTGTACCTACTGTTAGGGTTACCATGTAGTTAAAATGCTGAATCATTACTTGTGTTTGGCCCTAAATGACAGCCCATTAAGAGAAAGGAACATTCATTTCAGCAGTTAATACTTAATGTAGTTTTCAATGAAATTTATTCTTTTTTTAATAGCATGAGTGCTATTAAGCTTGTATTTAATTATTACTTTATTAATAAAACAATTATTATTAAAGAATGACATTTTTGTCTTTTATGTTTGTCCATTCCATATCTGAGCTAATTTTTAAACCACATGTTTTTATAGCTTTTATAGCACTAAACAAATAAACCAAAGTAAAAGTATATATTTATATTAAAATTTCAGCAATAACAATTATTATCGCAAGCTTAAAATGAGTCATAAAAACTAATCGTTCTCGTTATAAAAAGTGATTAATTATAAGAACATGTAACTATTTTTAAAAAAATGCTTACACCTTATTTCATAAATATTACTAATCACATGAAGTATGCAATATTTTCTAAGAATAGAAAATCAAGCTTTAACATCAGAAACTATTAAATAAAATGTATCTGGGGAAAGCACATTTTTGCATTTACTACAAAAAGGAATACAGTAGTCCCTCGACAACCATGATTTTGAATATTAAACATACACAACATTATATGCTATATGCTCTTTTTAATGCAAGAAGCAAATAACATAGATTGTATCTTCTTTAATATGAAGTATAAACTGAAGATGTGGACTATAGAAAGAAACAGAAAACACTTTACCACACATATACTTTAAACTTAATCCCATGATGCATTTATTATTTCAAAACTTAAAAATCTTTCATTTTCTTAGTTAAGACTCATGCCATTTATTCAATTAAATTTTAACTCAGAACAATAATAATGACTGATACTTTCGAGAGGTTTTTAAAGCATTCTAATAAAAGAAAACAGCTGAAGAGAAGAACACTGATGTCTTAATAAAAATCCAGAAGCATACAGATCGGAAATGAAGCAGTTATCTAACCTTGATTTCTTTGTGCATTTCACAGTTATGCTATTAAATCTCCCTCTACATAACCAGAATGATCTGTAGCTGAAATAAAAAACACTGATGTTAGTTCTACCAATCACCAGCAATGAATTTTATAATTAACGTTCATAGAACAATGCATATATATATATATAACTACAACACACTTTTTTTTTCCACTAACACATTTTCATAACATACTTTGTCATAGCCGAGTTCGGAAGAACATCCTCTCAAAGAAAATTACAAATAAGTTGCATATGTAATAGTATTACCTCCTAGTTCCTAGTTTCTTACGACCTCCATATGCCTCACCAACCGCAGCATGCACCAGAAACACAAAAACCACGGTTGGCAAGGGACTACTGTATACATTTGAGTTTGCACGCCTTTTTTTTTTTTTTTTTTTTTTTTTTTTTTTTTTTTTTTTTTTTTAAACTTCTGACATTCAGGTAAAGGGAACAAAATTCACTTGATCTGCATTTTTTTTAAATGTGCATTTCAATCTGAGACACTCAAAAAAAGTATTTTTACTTTTTCTTAAAACAATGGTCTTCATTTTTATAATATATGCATATTTATCATATATTAAATGCCCCTATATTAAACTAATTATTTTAATAATGCAATTAAAAGTAGCATTACTACTTTTATCCCATCACGAGATTTTATCAGCTCATAAAATATTTTACTTTCTTTAAGAATTTAATAATTAAACTTTTCTTCAATAATGTAACCATCATCATAATCAAGGGAAATTTATGAAAACAGAGATTAAAATAAAGTAGTTATAAAAATTTAACTAATAGCAGCTGTTTAAATACAGATCCTCATCAGCAGATCCCAAAAACAGTGAAAGTCAGAAGGTTAATATAATAATGTTTTATGTAGATTAAATTTTAAAAAAGATACTGAAATAAGCAAGAATACTTAAAGAAAATATTTTTTAAAAAATTTGTATCATTCAGTTTTCTCACTACTTCATGCCAAATATTATGCAATTAATTTACGAATTAACTAAATTGTTTGATTATGACAAAGCATATGAGAATAATCTGCCTAAGAGAATCAACAGAACCTAAGAAAGGAACTTGATTAGCATATACGTTACTGAAAAAAATCATCACACTGTCTATGCAACTAACTCATTTAGAGATTTCAAATTAAAATCAAACTGTATGTATCCACTCAACACTGGTAGGCTGCTATTTACGAGTGCTTTTAAAATGCTGCAGGACAAAAATGATTCAAATTCTGCATGCTTTTTATAATTCTTCTTGTTACCACATCCAATTTAATTACAATTAATCTTTTATTTATATTGCCTTAACAAACTTCATATTAGCCTTTAATGTTTTGATTTTTTAACATATATGTGTAACGAAAGTTTTCTGACAAATACATTCTTAAAAAAAGTTATGGGGGAATATGAATGCAGTACCTTCAGTGCAAGTAGTAATCATCACCCAAATCCATAATTTTCTGCCATAATTTTGACAGTTTTTCAAATCCCAGCATCAAAATGGACTAGCACTTCGCTCTACACCTTACTGTCAAGGGTTTTACCTTCTTCCAGGTACTCTTTGTGAATAATACCACGGCAATCCCACCAGATACAAAGCATTATCTTTCTGTTACTCAAATTGTGATCTGTAACTCTGCCAATGGGCTCACTGGGCGCAGACCAACCCCCTTTTCGGTCCGTGTTATTGATGTAAATCCATTTTTCATCACAGGTGATGATCTGGTCCAGAATTTCCTCCTTGTATTGATATTTAAGCAGATCAGTGCAGGTCAGAACACATCTGTCCTTATCTGCTTGAGTCAGTTCAATGTGGCACCCAGCGATTGAACTTGCACGCCAAGTTTATGCGATGCATAGAATGACTAATAAACATGGCACCAGATTATAACTCCTTAGCAAGCTCCCGAGTGGTTGCATACTGGTCTTCTTCCAATTATCGCAGGTGGACCTCATTAACATCAGTAGGCCGGCCAGAGCGCTCTGCTTCTTAAATGTCATAGTCCTTGTTTTTGAACGTTCAGTACAAACCTTTAGTGTCATATGATACAAAATTAGTACCTAAAGCTATAAAAGTAATCTGGTGACATTCTGCAGCTGACTTTTTGCAACAGAACTGTAGGTAAATGATGATTCTAATCTCATAACGTGACAGTTCCATTTTAGAAATCTTGTACTTAATGATAATATTTTTTTTTACAAATTTCACAACACAGTTTTCACAACATATTTTTGGCATGTAAAAGAAAGAGATTAGTTTTCTAAAGCTAATCTCTTTCTTTTACATGCCAAAAATCGTTTGACAAAATATGATTAAACATGGCAAAAGGAACTGTTTGGTAGACGATATTTGTAAAAGCGGGAAACTTTCATTAAAACCCGATACTTCATTCCATTCATATTATTTTTTTATTCTTTCCCTTTATTTTCACCTTATTTATTATTACTGTCATCATTATTATTGAATTATTTATATATTATTCTCAATCTAACTATAATTTCCATATGACTTCACTTTTACAGTAACGTTAGAATGGGGGTTGTTAGACGGGGGAAAGTGGTCAGCCTTTTATTTACCTGTTAAGTATTATTTTAGTTTATAAGCATAAAAATATACTTTTACTCATATTTTGGAATTTATACTGTAGGGTTTATATTTATTTTAACTAACATTTATTTTAAGTTTAAACTATCTTTCCTGTCAAGCCTTACTTTCCCCTGGAACTGCCAATGCCAGAATATGTAAATTTGAGTAGAACGCGCAAGGATTCAAATTATCAGCGGGAAGTAGTATGAGTTAAATAGCAAGGAAACGAGTTCGGTGTGTGATTTCTTACTTAGCGAGCGCGGAGGTTAGTTAGCGAGAATTGAAGAACCCCGCGTTGCGGCCTATGTGCTTGGCGGGAAGTAGTGGTAATCGTTCCAGTGAGCTTCAAGTCTGCTGAATTAGCAGCGGTATTGTAAAACGCGGTGAGTTAGTTATTTTAGAGAGCCTCGTAGTTAGAATCTTGTCTTTACTTTCTTTTCAGGTTATTATTTTTATTTGACTGCCAAGTTGGCACAGTCTGTAGCGTCAAGAGGACGCAATTGTAATTTATTACGTTGAATAAAAAGGGACTTAAACCCTTCACAAGGCTCTATCTTTTATATACAAGCTTTCACAGTCACCTCTTGGTTGCGTGCAAGTTAGAGGCGCGCAACGTTATATTGGCGCCCGAACACTTATCGAACTGAAATGGCCGAAAATTGGATGGAAGCCGCTGGACAACACCAAGAAATGACAACTCAGTTTAGAAGGATTTGGATACCTGGTCCAGACTTTGAGAGCATCAATCAAGCCAAACGTCCATTTCGACGGAAAAAAATTCGGTGGCGGTATTTTAGAAGGTCTAGAAAACCACTTTCAGCTCTACCACCCTGTGCCTGAAAGACAAAAAGTTGCCATCGCCACATCAGCACTAAGAGGACAGGCCCGCGCTATGGTGGAAAAATATAGGCAAATTTCTTCTAGGTGGAATTTGGAAGCCCGACGTATACATTTGAAAATTTCAAAAATCGTTAGTAAAGGCCTTCCCCATAGTGAAAGATCGCGCACGGCTGGAAGCCGAACTATATAGTTTCTATCAACGGGATACAGCACAATTGACGGACTTTTATTTTACGAAAAATCAAGCTAACGGATATGCTGTATGGGAAGAAACCCGATGCGGAGATAATTGAAATATATTTACCAAGATTGTTACCCGCTGTCCAAGACTACTTTGAAATTAGAAACCCAAGCACATTGCAGGAACTTTTCGAATTGGCGGTGAAGTTTCAAAATCGCAGAATAGCGGAAAAAGCGAGAGGGGAAACATATTCTCAACACCCGAAGGAAGGAGGAAACCAGAAATGGAAATCGCTCATATGGGGGAAAAGAACTATCAAGCTAACGCATCGAAACTCGAAGGTCAAGGCCCAAAAAGAAAATTTGAAAATAAAGCATCCGCGTACCCAGAAGACACAGATTGAAAGGAAAGCTTTAAACGACTAGAGGGGCCTGTGAAAGGGAGGGTCCAGACCCCGGAAGTTTTAAAAAACCCTCAAATAGACATTAAAACACGGTCATCGTAAAAAACTCACAGCTACCAATTATACAAGTCCTGGTTGGCGATGTACCAGTAGAAGCCCTCATCGATACAGGAGCAGAAGGAAATTTTTATGAGTGAAAAGTTCTTCAAAAAGAATTTTTATAGGATACGACTATTTAAAACCAGAAATACGGAAATTATAGCGGCGCAAGGAAAACATGTCACTGCATCGGGAAATTATCATTAAACTTACAGGTAAAAGAGGAAAATCTCAAAGTATTAATTTTTGTGGTGAAAACCTGCAACACTCTCTTATTTTAGGTATGGACTTTTTAAGGGCCGCGAGGGCCAAATTAAATTTTCAAGATAGTTCCGTGGTGCTGGAGATGGACCAGAGGGTGGTGGAACCTGTGGAGACACCTGAATTGGACCTTAGCCATCTGAATGACCAGGAAAGTAAAGCAATACAGCAAGTGGTGAGTAATTTTTCTCTCATGTTTTTCAGAAAAACCAGGAAACTGTCAGAATCAGTGACGCACAAGATTCAATTAAATGCCGAAAAACCTTGTAGGACTAAACCGTTATCGTTATGATAAACAAAAAGACGTAATCATCGAAGAACATATTCAGGAGATGTTAAAGAATAAAATAATAACGCCCATAAATAGTGAGTACGCGAGTCCAGTCGTACTATGTAGGAAAAAGAACGAGTTTCCTCCTTCGGATAAAAGGGCTTGGAGGTTTGCTATCGATTACAGAAAACTAAATAGTATTACTAAATTTCCAGTTTAACCCTTTGCCGGTTATAGACGAGATCATTAGACAGATCAAATCGACAAGATATATGTCTACTTTGGACTTAACGTCTGGCTACTATCAAATAGCTATGAGACCCGAAGATATACATAAAACCGCGTTTATAATAACAAAATCGGGCACTTATGCATTTTTACGCATGCCCTTTTGGGTTGTGTGGGGCCCCATCAACATT